CCCGCGAGTGTTATCGTGGATACTGTTATGTTTCGATAAGAATAATAGATGGTAACTTTTTGGGATCCATTTATGGACCAATACTATACGTATATTTTTATCGTATTATTGTTAAGTAACTAAACTGTTCATATTCATGTCCCTCTTATTACGAGCTTTATTTTGTTCTATGAACCATTATTATACGACTCACCATTTTTGAATTATGCTCTGTCTATCGATTACTACCTCAAACATTCACAGCCACTTTTAGCTAATTCTTGTACAAATGTTAATTCCTATTTTATGGTACGATTTGATCTGGTTGATTGGTATATAAACCCAACATGCATGAAATAAATGATTCATATCTCAGAGGCTGAGATTGGTGTTCTGGACTTAACTGGTTGGACTAGGCGGAAGGCAGGAACAATCAGAGCTGTAAACTCTTCCGATCGATAATTCACTGCTCTCTGATTGGCGGTATCATTACATTATACATTAATAGGGCACACAGGCCACAAGTTATAACAATTGGCGATGGAGATGGGATTCAAAGTCACATGGTGAAACCCTAATAGATTTCCAAAACAGATGCACACTGTTAAGGAGTCCCACAGTAGGACGAAACGACTGTTCAATGTTTCCAGGTTTTCATTGATGGTCTAGTATCAATCAGTTCAAGAACTCAATCAATAACTTAATAATCTCCACAACCCTATACTGATAATTGACTTATAAATTGATTTTTTTTTCTATTTAATCTACAATAAAACAGTAACTAGGATCCCTGATTGAATGTACTACACATCAATCATAATAATATAAATGAATGAATGAACTTGTTTTTTTTTAATCCTTCCCTCTACTGCTTTACATCCCCCTTATGTAATCACTTTTTTTTTCGTTTTTTCAGATTTATGTTTCCCTGAATATTTTACTAGTTTCTTGTATCGTTTTTTCTCGCCTAATCCTTCCCAACATTTCTATATGATATATTGTTTTACATTTGTCTATTGATCTTTCTACCTGTTCATCTATACAGTTCTCTATCCGGTTGTTACTATGTTATTGATTTTATAACAATTGATTTATTTCTTAATACAAATCAATTTAGATATTAACACCGTTGAATGCCAGCTTATTGGTCTAATGGTTAAGCGGTAGTGCACAAGGCTGATAGGTCCTTGGTTCGAATCCCGCGGGGGGATGGATCGTGGATGCACACAGTTGAGGAGTCCCATACTGGGACGAAACGGCCTTCCAGTACTTCTAGGTTTCCAACGGTGGTCTAACATCAGTCGATTCATGATCCCAATCAAAAAAAACTTAGTAATCTCCATAACTCCAATACTGAGAATTTTGAGTATCTTGAGTAGACAACTATTTATAAATACTTGTAGCTTCTTGATGATAGTTGTAGTAGTTCTCTGCCTGTAGCTCTTCTAAAGTTACTGTCGGTCCTAAACCCAGGTAAAGGAGGAGGGTTGGGCATGAGATTAGTGACCCCATCCCGTAGAAAACTGACTCACTAGAAAAACAAACAGTAGACAAGGCCATGATATATTTTTGCATGATTAGTCTAAGAAAACTGGGATATATATATGGAATAGGAATAACCACTTTGAAAATTGAATGTTAGCTTGAATAAAAATCAAACTACTGAACAAGTTACATAATTGTCAGGTATAGATATAATGCCTATCTTGTATATTAACAATTCTCGATTCAAGGTAACTACAGAAACCAACTTTTGAAACTCGAAGTGATATTAGTTCCAGTAGTTCAAAAGTTTCCATTCTTTATCTCCTATCAAGTAGTTACTTCGAACTGATGAACTTGATTCAGTATTGACAGACTAAAGATCATATATCTGGTTCTTGGTGGCAAGGTTGGGGATACACACTAATGCGAAGTCCTATACATAACTGAAACAATTGTCAAATGCTTTATGATTTTTTGAAGCTTTGTTTTTAAACTAAGATCGGTCCGTGAAGTTAACTATGAAATTGGGAAAATCTCTATAAACTCTTTATAGTGATCAAACAGTTTGGTAAAATACAATCTTTCTTTGGTTTCAATGATCAAGATGTTAAGAATCAATTGATAAAAACCCTTGATAACTGAGCTTAATTTGGTATCATGAATGTACCAATGTTATGCCACCATTGGAAACCTGGAAACTCTGGACGATCGTTTCGTCCTACTATGGGACTCCTCAACAATGCGCATCCACGATCCCGTGTGTGGGACTCCAGCCCAGCACCTTTATCTCTAGACCATTGAGCCGACAACCAACGATGGACCGGTTATCAAGATTATATATACTTAATGTTATATGTAATTGTGTGTGCTTATTAGTGGTGTAAAAAATGTGATATCTGTTTTGATGGAGTTCTGTTCCCTAAACTGGATGGTTTGGCCATGGAGCTTTTATCGTCCTTCTGAACGATATCACAAGCACAAACTTTAAGTAGGAGTGAAGTGTTTAACTTTCCCCATATATCCTGTAGGCCTCAATTCTGATTGGTTACTATTAACCTTTAACCTGTCATTCATTGATATTGGTGATGTGGTGACGTGATGAGAGAGGTTAGAAATATTCACGTATTTGTAAATATGAGATGTGAATAGGATTAATGGTTCATGTTGTATAGATCGTTAGGCCTTTCTTTCTGTTAAGCAAGTTAAGCTTCAGCAAAATAATAAAGGCTTCAGTCACTTGCTTTGCTTCATAGGTAGAAAATCCTTCTAAATTATTTTAATATTATTAATATCGATTTGGTGGTTGCTGAAAGCACTAAAGACTCCGCCTGGAGTTCCTCCGAGGGCTACTGCCTGTCCCAAGCCCGGATAAAGGAGGAGGGCTGGGCATGGGGTTAGCGACCCCATCCCGTAGAAAACCAACTGGCTAAAAAAGTTCTAACCAGAAAAAACAATTCAAACCATTTAAACTCTGCCCTGGGCGCCAGAAGGTCTTCATTTAGAAGAGTTATGACGCCTCATGATGAAAGCCAAGTTCCTTCGGAAGTCACGAGGCTGATGCCCCTTCTGACAACTAGAACAACCATTTAATTAGGTACATGGAATACTCGTACAATGTGAGAGACCGGGAGAGTCTTCCAAATTGCTTCATGATTAACTGAGAAGAATTAGATATAGAATGCATAATAATCAACAAATCCTGGCCTATAGACACCGTTCCGTGTCGAAGTGATAAGAAACTTATCCTTTGTTTGAACTAAAACTTTTTCAAATGTCCTCTGATCTGAGGATTTGTTGCAGAATTTTTTTTGTTTTGCCATGATGGTATGATAGATTTGCTCATGATAATTCATTCAAATTATTATTATTTAACAAAAGAATACTCCGAAGGTTGATAGTGGCTAGCAGTGGAATCCAAAACGCACGTTTCGTCTTATTTGGGACTTGTCAGCTGGATATACTTGCATCTGAGAGTTGATGTTCACCCTAGGACTCGAATCCAGTACAGTTCGCTTCAAACGACATCACTTTATTCACTTATAATGCTTATAATGTTTGTTAATTAAGGTAATATCGAGGCGATACTCACAATATACATATATTCCAGTGGGAGACTGATCAATTGCAGTCGTAAACATCAATGGGCAGATTCAAGTAAACAATACCAAGTGAATTCAAAAGAACACTCCGTTTTTATATATTTTTATTAGTATCCATGGGAAAGGTATTAAATTGTAAAACGTTAATTAGATATTTCTGTTATTTTTTCTTTTGCTTGTCTTAATCTGATGTGAATGATCTTTGACACTAGTCTGAATAAATTTACCACCCAAAGGATTTTGTATTGACCCAAATTGAAATCAATAGACCGATTTGAGTGTATTCTTCTCATGATCTCAAATCCTTAAGTTTTATTCGATATAGAGAAGTTTCAAAAGACAACAATAAATGTCATATTCCTACTAATTTCCAATTGTTCTCATATGGATATCAGGCTAAGACAAAAACTTGTTCAAAATAAAGACCGGTGTCAAGCAAGGTTGCTTACTGTCACCCTTTCTCTTTCTCCTGGTGATCATGAAGACATCAACATCTGAAGGGAAGCATGTGATCCAGTGGACAACTTGGATGAAACTGGACGATCTAGACTTCACAGATGATCTTACTCTTCTATCGCACACTCAACAACAAATGCAGGAGACAACAAGTGTAGCACCAGTAGGTTTCAACATACACAAAGGGAAAATCAAGATTCGCCGATACAACACAACATGCACCAATCGGACCACACTTGACGAAGTAGCTTTGGAGCATGTAGAAAACTTTACATATCTGGGTAGCATCATTGATGAACACGGTGAATCTGTGGAGGCGCGGACCGACAAAGCAAGAGCGACATATCTACAACTGAAGAATATCTGGAACTCAAAACAACTATCAACCAACATCAAAGTCAGAATTTTCATTATAAATGTCCATACAGTCCTATTGTATGGAGCGGAAACTAGGACAACTACGAAAACAATCATCCAGAAGATACAAGTGTTTATTGATAGCTGTCTACGCAAAATAATCAAGATCCGTTAACCAGACACTGTCAGCAACAACCTACTATGGGAGACAACAAACCAGATTCCAGTGGAGGAAGAAATCAGGAAGAAGTTTTGGAAGTGGATAGCATACATATTGAGGAAAGCACCAAACTGAGTTACAAGACAAGCCCTCATATGGAATCTTCAAAACCAAAGGAGAGGCGGAAGACCAAAGAACATAATACACCGAGAAATGGAGATAGACAGATAATGAGAATGAACAAGAATTGTATAGGACCAAAAAGGAAGACCCAGGACAGAGTGGTTTGGAGAATGTTGGTCGGCGACCTATGCTCCAATGAGGTCATTAGGCGCAAGTAAGTAAGTAAGTATGACAAAAGCTATTTTCAGGTTTATTGAATATAGCTCTTTAGTAGTTCTTTAAAACATAGAACTTTAATGAAATCAATTCAATTGATTTATTGATTTATTTTTATTTGATAGAAGGAACAACTTTATATCACCGGTGGACAGTTAGTAAATAGTAATCATATACAATTTGCAAATCTATTGATTGAAGATGGAAAAGTTGTGTAAGTATTCAAAAGTTTATAGTTACTATTATAACTATCAATATATTTAAGTTCTTATGTAATTATATTGAAATGTTAAGTCAATATGAGATGGTGGAGAAGATTTGTAGTTTAGGTGAATGATTTTGTTGGAGTTTTGTTCTCTGAGCTGGATGGTTCAGAAGAACGATGAAAGCTCCAGAGAACAAAACTCCATCTAAGTCAGTATTGATATTGAACTAACTTTGAGACTTTCAATTTACTTTCAATCAATGAGTAAATATCTTGAATGAAACAAATATTTCAATGGTTAAGATCATGAGTCAGTTGAAGCTAGACCATCACCATGGAAAGAACCTGGAAGCACTAGACGGCTGTTTGGTCCTATTGTGAGATTCCTCAGCAGTGTGCATCCACGACCTCGACCCCTGTGAGATTCGAACCCACCACCTACTGGTTTCGCGCACGAGCACTTAACCACTAGACCAATGAGCCGGCTGGCATTCAACGGTGTTAATATCTAACTTCAACTAATCCACGTAATTGAGCGACACATCCACCAATGTCTTCAGTGAGTTACTATCTCACAACAGACCCGATTGAACTCCATTGGTCACTACTTCTCACTAGAACACCAGGATATACCTCTTGAAGCCAGTCACTAGTGAGCATATGTTGATTATGATCAGAAGTGTTTTTGCGGAGATTGTAGTAATTTCACTGGTTAAAATCATGTGTCAGTTGAAGCTAGACCACCATGATCTTAACCATTGAAATTACTACAATCTCTACAAAACCTCTTCTGATATGAATCAAATATGTTAATGAATAATGATTTGAAAGTTTACTGTCGGTTTTCAAATCTTCTTATCATAGAAATCTTTCATTATCTTCATGTTAATACATTCATATGTAATGTATTCTTTCAGATCTTTCCAAAGCTACTAATTAGTATTGATAATTCAGAACCATCAAGTTATAGGTAAACTGAGAAAATTTCTTCTCAGTTAAATTGAATATTGGTATCTTGAAATGTTTCAGTGAGCTATTCTGTAGAGTTAAACAATAAAACTTGTTATATAACAGATTGTTAAGTCTATTGAAGCATTTCAAATCACCCCTTATTGAAATACGCTTAAAAATTAAAGTTTACAAAGCAGCAATTTGTCTAAAATATCCGTTCTTTACTGAATAATAAACAAAGATTAATTACAAACCTTAACTTGTAAGTTGTCTGTGGTGTTTACCGCGTCATTCTGTAATTTTGTGCAAAAATAACACCCTTTAACTGTGTGCAAACTTGGTAACAGTAACTGAACCAAGAGCAAAATATATATGGAAACGATTACGTTTAAACAAGGGTTAAACGAATGCACGAATTTGAGAATAACTGTTACAATGAATCAGATAAACTAATTATAATGATAAATACAATAAAGTGTTAAAAGTATATGTAAATATTTCAGAATATTACACAACAAACTTGCGTTACAACATATGCGTAGAAATTGTTAGGAAAGTCAGTCAGTCAACCAGTAACAACGTGGAACTTCATACGTACGTACATCAGTTCGAGTCACTGTACCACATAAGCACAGAGATACAGTTGTCGATTCGAATTCCATAGTGGTAGAGGTAGTGAAAGTATAAGTAGTAATCGGGAACATTAGGGTTTAATGATGTTATTTAAGGAGTATAATCCAGTGGAATAAATTGGGAAAGAAAATAAAGGACATAAAGAATTCAGAAGATTATAATTTGGGAGAACACAAAAAGTGCATGCATCTGCGCCATTGCAAACGACTTTGAGTCATGTCATTCAAGATCTCTAACTATCGGTTGCTATCGTCTCACGGATCCCAACCAGGTAGTCTACACCTACCAACATGGCTCAGTCCACTTGTCTGTGACTTCATGGATTTGTGCCATGTTTTCGTTTGGCCGTCATTATCTTTCCCCCAACCTACTCCTACACCAGAAAACATCACACGTCGGGACATTCGGTGGTTGGGCCTACGGAATACATGTCCAAGCCATCTCAACTGATGAAGTTTCACTACTTCATCAATTGATTTGTCATTCTTACCTAGTACCCGTTTTTTAACAACTGAGTTATTTACTCAGTGGTCCAAAGTAACTCAGTTATTAGGAAAACAATTATTTACTGAATATTGATAAGTAGTATAAAACAATACACAAAAGAATTGAAGGGAAGTGAATATGTACAAAGAACGTAAAACAAACTTAACATAAATGTGTGACGATGTTTTGTGTGCACCAGTAACATTATGTCCACTAATTCGATTACTATATACGCCATGAACAACAGCTCCATGCAACATTTTCAAGTTTAAAACCTACCAATCAGAATACTAAAACGTCAAATGGATTGCCCCCAATTAGCTGAGTAATAAACAATTTCATTCAGTTTAGTTCCCAGTTTAGACCGAACTTTATTGGCTAATTTAGCAATGTGAAGATTGGTATATCATAATATCAGACAGCCATAGTTAACGTATAGCCTCATGAAAATGTTTCCTCGGTCGTCATCATAAAATATAAGCACAATAAGATAAAATTAATGAGATGAATGGCAATGAAATCATGATAACTGTAATGATTATGATAACGAACAAGGTCCAACAATAAAAATATTGTCTGAGAAGGAATAGAAAGAAAGAATTCGTAAGGGAATATTTAAACTGAAGATCTAGAGGAAGATAAAGAATAAACCTCATCTGCTCCCCTATGGTCATTTCGGGGATATATCATCATCATGCATGCAATTTCGTCAGCGGTTGACTTGCTAGTTGACTTCAACCACCTAGCATTTACCACATCTTAACATTTGCTAATCTTCATTTGATTAATCAATGAATAAGTTAGATTTGTGTTGCTTCAATTTATAACAAATTAGGTCAACTGGTACAAACATTGAAGTTCAGCCGGATACGCCCACACTAGATGCTACCGGAATGTTAATTATGCCAGCTGGAATTGATATGTCTACTTACTTAATAAAAGATATTCATTCGATTGATACAGAAGCTTATATAAATTTTACAAAAGAGGCTTTACTTGGTGGAACTACGACAATCGGTAAGTCTTACAATTGAAAGTCTCTATTTTCTGGGTAACTTCTTATTATCAGAATGACTGTACCACATGATAATGTCTCTCAAATCAGTAAACGTTCAGTGAATTTGGATCAATGAAGTTTATTAACTAATATAAATCAAAGAAAAAGAGAGAGCGTAAAATCTCTGGATTTATCTTTCTGTAGTGAAAAGCAGTAAAATACTATGAAATGCCAGTTCACTTTTCAAGTCATTATATTGTCAAGTGGTTCTATAACACTTGATCACTATTGGGTTTCTACTTAACATTCAGAGATAGCTCTGCGTAGTATGTGGTGTCTTGGAGGACTCAGTATGGTTAGTCGATAAAATAATCTAGAGCTGGGAAAAAAAGTAAACTAAATCCTCAGTATGCACGTAGATATGTGAATAAGAGTTTGTAGAAATTATAGTAATTTAAATGGTTGAATTCATGAGTCGATCTAATCTAGACCATCATTAAAAACCAAGAAGTATTGAATGGCCGCCTCGTCCCAATGTGCGACTCCTCAGCAATGAGCACCCATAATCCCTCATGCGGGACTCGAACCTGAAGCCCTCGATCTCGCCCGTGAACTCTTAACATCTAAACTCCTAAGCCAACATCCGACTGTGTACATGTATAACTTCAATCAACTAATAGATATCGTAGATATCTGTTGTTGAAATAATGGACAATAATTCAATAATTAAAATTATAATCAGAGAGGGGTATTGTGATACTATAGTAATTTTAATAGTTGGATTCATGAGTCAATTAAAGCTAGACCACTATGGAAAACCTGGAAGCACTTGATGGCCGTTTCTTCGCTGGTATGGGACTCTTTATCAGTGCGCACCCACGACCCCGCCCGTAGGATTGCAACCCCGGACTTGGTAGTCTACCTATCGCTACAATTTTCTTTTTAACTCCCCTAAATATTTTTGTTTTAGTCTTTGTCTACTAAATTTGTAATTAAGTAGTATGTATGTATTTTTCTAAAATATCTTCCTAGTTGATACTATCATATGTCCAAAAGATTCATCAGCTGTTGATCTTTTAATAAAATATAAAAATGCTTTTAAAGATACAAAATTTTGGTGTGATATTATCATTCGTATTGGTTTTATGGAAATTCAAGAGAATCATTTAAATGAAATAGAACAATTAACTAAACAACATGGAATTAATTCGTTTCTAGTGAGTTCAAGCCAATTAATGAATTATTTATCCCTTTTCTATGAAAGAATTGTAAACTTTATTCTAGTTTGATTCATGGAATACTATTTGAATTCATGAGCCAACTGAAGCTATATCGTCATGGAATATCTGGAAGCACTAGATGGCTGTTTCATCCTATTGTGGGACTCCTCAACAGTGCACATCCACGATCCCGCCTTGCGAGATACGAACCCAGGATGTATCGGTCTCGTATGCAAGCACTTAACCACTAGACCACTGGCCCGGCTGGCATTCAACGGTGTTAATATCTAACTTCAACTAATCCACGAAATTGAGCGACACATCCACCAATGTCATCAGTGAGTTACTATCTCACAACAGACCCGATTGAACTCCATTGGTCACAACTTCTCACTAAAACACCAGGATATACCTCTTGAAGCCAGTCACTAGTGAGCATATGTTGATTAATATCAGAAAGGGTTTTGTGGAGATTGTAGTAATTTCAATGGTTAAGATCATGAGTCAATAGAGGCTAAATCACCATGCAAAACCTGGAAGCACTGGACGGCTCTTTCATCCTATTGTGAGACTCCTCAGCAGTGCACATCCACGATCTCTCCCCGCGAGATTCGAACCTAGAACCTATCAGTCTTGCACACGAAGGCTTAACCTCATATATCTGTCTTTAATGTTAAATAATATCCAAAGAAAAGGGGTTATAAAATCATTATCGTGATAAACTTCAGTGTTCTTTTAGATTAATCATCTGGACTACCAAGACATATGAACAACAAATATATCTGTTAAGTATAAGATGGATATAATGACCAACGACTATGATGATTTGATTCAGCGTTTACTCCCCAGATAATTTTAACTACTTTGAGCATTCATTTATCATTTTAGTATAATGAGTTCTATACTAGGACGAAATAGACATGAAATTATTGCTTTTATGACTGAAACTGTACGATGGAAGATTGAGATTAGACATTCGCGCGAGAGACTGAGAGCCATAGTTTCGAATCCTGCTAGCGGGATCGTGAATGTGCACTGCTGAAGAGTCCCACAACAGGACGAAATAGCCGTTCAGTACTTTCAGGTTTCTAGTGGTGATCTAACATCAATCAATTCATGATCTCGATCTGTAACTGTTTTCACATTAATCTATTTCTTTTTTTTTTTTCTTTTTATGCTTAAATGATTTGTTTTACATGGATACATTTGGAAAAAAATTAAATGTGAATCAATAAACTACTCATCAACAGTTTATTATTGACCCAATGGAAATGGATAAAACTTCTAAAGATTCATTATATATTACAAATTTATTAAAAGCTTTGGATAAATGTAAACAAACTGGTTCAATTGCTGTTATCAAATTTGATCATTTGAATAAACAAAATGATGTAAGTAAAATAAAAGTCATATATTTGTAGATATCCCAATAAGTAGAAAACTGATGTTTCGTGACTTAGTGTAAGTCACTTCTTCAGAGTAAATAAATAGTGAAATCAAAATGAATCCAAATTGAAATAGTACAAAAGAATAACATAAGAAGATTATGTGCGATCAATCATACAAGTCAATGTTATGTCATTTAGGTCATGATGATTTATACATAAACTTCATCCCATTTCACAAGCAGGTGGCTGTCAGGACTCTGTACTTAATTGGATAACGTGATGGCGTTTGAAGTGAACGGTACTGGGTTCGTGTCCCAGGGTGAATATCAACTCTAAGATACAGGTACATCTAGCTGACGAGTCCTAAATAGGACGAAACTCGCGTCTAACTGGATTCCACTGTTAGCCACTATCCATCTTCACTTAAAAAGCTTGTGACTTAAGGTTATATCAAAGCAATCCGTACAGGATGAACATATGCCAATTGCAGTTCTAAATAACAATGGGAAGATACAAGTAAAACAACACCAAGTAAATTTAGACATGTATGTAAATTTGTGGGTGGGTGTGTGTATGTGTACAAGGTCAGGGATGAAATAATATGACCCTTGTAGTGAGAAAGGATAGACTTTAATTTGTATATAAGTTAATAGTGTGAAATATGAATAATATTAGATATGGTAGCTTAGATAGGTAGTCCAAGTCGGATGAATAGTGAGGCCTTCTTTTCTACTGAGAGCAGTAGGTTGTGTCTGGAAAACTTTAAACTTTAAACTACATACATATAAAGGTAAAGTTTTCTACATGTTCTTAATAGAAATTGTTTTGTGGATTAGATCATAGATATCAGATAATGAAATATGGATAAAGATCTCGAGTTCACTAATGTGATTTAGCTATCTTAATTTCACGGTTTAAGAGAAAACAAACATCAAAGGCATTGTGATCAATTCTGAGCCATGTCACCAAAAGGAGAGATAGTTGAATTCCTGAAATGGTGATTCAACAGTAGTGTGTTCGGCATTAGAACTGTAACCTCAGAGTTTGATTTCATATGAGGTCGAGCGTATATTTTTAAACTATCAATATATGGATTTGTGAAGATTGTAGTATTTTCATCTGTGAAGTTCAATCTGTGTAAGGTGTGAGATAGTTATCTACCTCAGACAATAGATGAAAGGTTGTAATAAGAAATCTTTTTTTTTTTATTGACACTATGAACCAATTGATTTCAGACCACCATGGAAAAACTGAAAGCACTGGACGGTCGTTTCATCCTATTGTGGAACTCATCAGCAGTACGCGTCCACGATCCCGCTCACAGAATTCGAACTCATGGCTTTCAGCCTCTCACGCGAACGCTTAACCTCTAGACCACTGAATCAATATATAACCGTGTTAACGTCTAACCTCAATCAATCCACCGAATTGTATGACCATCTTTCATTGTACTGAGGTAGATACCTGTCTCTACGCAAACATGGATTAGCTCCATTGATCATTTCTTCTCACTAGAACTCCAGAAGATCATCTTGTAAGAACTAATTAAGAATCTTCAACTACAATGAAATAGTTATATAGAGTAAAATCTGATCTTCATTAGTTCATTTCTGTTATAACGTGTGATCCGCCTATTAGAGAGCAGCCTATTATCGATCGGAACAGTGACGCATAAAACACGAGCGAGCAGCCTAGAGTCCTGATTGGTCCTGCTTCCCTGTCTAGCCCAGCCAATTGAGTCCAGAACACAAGTCTCAGCCTCGGAGATATGAATCGTTATATTTCAAACATACACTGTTTATATACCAAACAAACAGACTACATCGTACCACAAAATAGAAAGTAACATTTGTACAAGATTTAACCTTCAGGATATGACACAAATAAATATTGACCAATAAAGAGATGACACGTTGGAAGAATGTTGACCAATGGGGAAATGACACTACTTCTCATTCAGGAATAGCATTAGATAATTTCTGGGGTATTTTCTGAATACCCCAACACCTCCCCTTCTTTGAAGATCCGAACCTGATATCCGGAATATAAGTTCCTCGGTTCCATCCTCCCCCACGAAACAATGTTGGGTCCTCATATACCCAAAATACAATCGATCTGACTTGAATTAAAATATATATTTGTCGCAGCGTACAAGAAATCGACTGAGTATGACTAAGTGGTGAGGGTGAATACCCCAACAATTTCATTACATTCCATCAGAAACTTCATATATAAATTATCATATGTTTATATTAACTTAACTTGAAATTTACTCTTTTCTTATATCTAGTTAGTATTAAGATCAATTGAAAGATGTATTTTTCTTATTACTACAACAAATTGTCCAGTTATTTTCTCATCTATTAATGAAATGAATATCATTGAAAGTATTTCTAAATTAAAGAGACAAATTCCACCTATTCATATTACTGTATGTTGTACATCCAATTCATTATTACCAGAGATAATACATAATCAAGTAAGTTGATCTTATATTATTAATAAATGAATGATTGAAATGTTCACTGAAAATTTCTTCGAATCTTTAGTTGATGTTTTGTCTTAGATCAATGTTCAATAAATTACATCAAGCAAGATAAGTTCATAGATTTTTAGCAGGAATTTGTGATTTATGAAATGAAATGTTTATTAACAATTATATTGATCTAAAGATTAAACGTTCGTGTATGAGACCGATACATTTTGGATTTGAATCTTACGAGGCTGGATCATAGATACTCACTTTTGAGGAGTTACACAATAGGATGAAACGATCGTCAAGTGCTTCTAAGTTTTCTATAGTGATCCAGGTTTAATTAACTCATGATCTTAACTATTGAAATTACTATAATATTCAAAAAAAAACCTTCTGATATTGAATAGTAAATTAATTCAATTTGAAAATTGAGCTGATAATAATAATAATAATAATCTGCTCATTAGTGACTGACTTCAAGAAATACTCCTGAAGTTCTAGTGAGAAGCCGTTACTAGTGGAGTTCAACCAGGTCTGTTGTGAGATATCAACTCACTGAAGAAAATGGTGTACGGTGGCGCAACTTCGTGGATTGGTTGAAGTTAGACATTAACACCGTTGGATGCCGGTAGGCTCAGTGGTCTAGTTGGTTAAGTGCCTGGCGCGAGACTGATAGGTCCTGAGTCCGAATCTCGTGGGTAGCGGGATCGTAGATACTCACTGCTGAGGAGTCCAATACTAGAACAAAACGGCCGTCCAATTCTTCCAGGTTTTCCATGGTGGTCTAGCTTCAATTGACTCATGATTTTTAACCAGTGAAATATCAGCTCAATAGTCTAATGATTAGGTGATCGTCCCAAACCCTCTAAATTTATAGGTTTAATCAATGAAATAGTCATAGATTCACACTTCTTCATAGTCATATACTAGTACCCCAAACAGTTATCCAATACTAACTGGTTTCTAATGATTCTCCATCTTTGATAAACAACCTACTGATAATTAAATATTGTTCAAATAATTCTTCATCGTTAATTAAAACAAGAATGACAGTATTTGAGGAATATGGAAAATTCATTGTATTGTATTAGTTTCACTTCAACTACATACAAGTTAATACATTTTGATTACTTCTTATTGTTAACGTAATGAACATAAATGAAGATGAAGATTCAACTTTTGACTGGGTTTTTTTTGTAAATTGTTTAGAGGGGATAGTTTTTAAATTTAGATTTGTGTAGTAAGGACAGAAGACCTACGGCCTATGTTATTCATTTTCTAGGAATAATGCCCTTGTACGGCCGAGAATGGGAAGAGTCAGCTCTCCTTCTCGAAATGCTCTTACATGGCCATGTGCATACAACAACTGATAGGGAAGTTCTATCCACTGCCTTTTCGCGCCACGGGTGTTGTTTACGAAATTGAGAGGAAGAAAAGCGAATGTCCGGTGCTTTAACCGGGTTAGTGGATATTGAGAGTCCACCTAGTGGAGTTGGAAAACCCTGATTCCAGACCAGTGGTGTACATGGACTCCAGTATCCTGAAGCAACAAATGGTGTATGGACCAATCGTTGGTCACCGGTTACCATGGGACTGAATATCCTTACGATGCTCCACTGCCTTCTGGATCAGACTTTTAGATAAAAGGCTCGGGGTGTGGTCCCCTAAGAAAACCACCTGCTTCGGTTTGGACACCTGGGCATTATCCCACATATCGAATGATTTATATGGCGCATATCTATTTGATGTTCTCTTGTACCAATGCTTATGTGTTTAAATAAATAATACCTCTGTGAGTGTCTAGTCTTCTCTTGACTGAGTCAATTTAAGGTGCGGACACACTACTACTTAGCGTAACAGGTTCCAAGGATTGATAACTCAGTGTGAAAACCTGTATGCCTGCTCGTTCTTGGCTTTTCTATTCGTCTGTTATGTCCTCTGAGATGTTCTGATCTCGTAGGAATAAAAAGAGAGAATATATAAAGTCCAAAATCATTTCTTAGTATTCTATACATTAAATGTTATTACGTAATAGAATTCCATCCTTTTTTTTCTCTCTCAATCAAATAATGATCCATTTTGATGTAATATAGTTTATATGTAGATATAATCGATTATTCCAATATTTAATCGATATTACGGTCCTCATGTAATGTGTAGATTGTTTTACAAATGACTAGTTATCATTATATAAGTCATACATCTACAATGTCTAATAATTAAGTTTGAGAATTGATCTCATTCATGATTATTGACTTTAGAACACAGAATTTATTTAAGTTAATGCTGAGATTTTGTTCAATCTTAAATGAACTTACTGCTGTCACACTGGTCGTTTTCTTTTGGATTTGTTGTTGAGTGTGTGATAGAAGAGCCAGATCATCTGTGAAGTCTAGATCGTCCAGTTTCATCCTAGATGTCCATTGTATCCCATGCTTCCCCTCAGATGTTGATATCTTCATGATATCCACAATATCCACAATAACCCACAGTAATAATAAAAGATTATTTGAGATTTTAATTGTAAAGTTCCGTAGGAAAAGTATCATTAATCAAATTGAATGATGAATATGTTATATAATGAGTGGGTTCGAATCTCGCGGGGGGCGAGGTCGTGGATGCGCACTGCCGAGGAGTCCCATAATAGGACGAAACGCCCATCCAGTGCTTCCAGGTTTTCCATGGTGGTCTAGCTTCAACTGACACATGATTTTAACCAGTGAAATTACTACAATCTCCGCAAAAACACTTCTGATCATAATCAACATATGCTCACTAGTGACTGGCTTCAAGAGGTATATCCTGGTGTTCTAGTGAGAAGTAGTGACCAGTGAAGTTCAACCAGGTCTGTTGTGAGATAGTAACTCACTGATGACATTGGTGGATGTGTCGCTCAATTACGTGGATTAGTTGAAGTTAGATATTAACACCGTTGAATGCCAGCCGGCTCATTGGTCTAGTGGTTAAGTGCTCGTGCGCGAAACCAGTAGGTAGTGGGTTCGAATCTCGCAGGGGTCGAGGTCATGAATGTGCAATGCTGAGGAGTCCCAAAATAGGACGAAACGGCCACCTAGTGTTTCCAGGTTCTGCATGGTGGTCTAGCTTCAACTGACTCATGATCTTAACCATTGAAATATTTAATGAATTGACTTAAATAAAAAAATGCCCGAAATGATCAACTCGATCGAAGTGAACTAACGTTTTGTTTAATGATTTAGTCATAATTCACTTGATATTGTTTGCTTGGATCTTCCCATTGATATTTAGGACTCCAGTTGATCAGTCTCTTATGAGTATATATGCATTCTATTTGCTACCTCCTTGTACTAATGTTCATATTTTTAACTGAGTAAAACAAATAAATAAATTTGAATTAATAAAATATTGTGCTAAATTCAGTGGTATCCCCGAAGTGAATATCAACTCTGAGATGTCAGTTGACAAGTCTTCAGTCTTCAATAATGAGGATAGTAGGTTGGTGAACCTGTGTTAATCCTAACAGGTTGCCTTCCAGTGAAGGTTCATTTTCTCTTTGAAAATATTCACTGATGGGGCTGATACCACTTGTTCGGGCAAAGCGTTCCAATCATTGACTACTTGATGAGAAAAATGGAACCCCACCTTGAGTTTATTAGATCTTGGTTTATGAACTTTCTTGCTATGACCTCGGAGGTTATTAGTGCTGGAGGGAGCAAAAAGATAAGACATATTAACACCCAAATCATAATTAAAGATACGAAATGCCAGTCTCAAATAGAACGAAATACGCATTCTGGATTCCACTGCTAACCATCATCTATCTTTATATAACCATAATTGTTGAAAAACAGACAATCTTACGTAAATTAGATATGGCGATCTCTAACCATATGAAAATTATATAGAGTATTCATGTAAATAAAATAGAATTTCATAATTTATACTTAACCATTCAACAGATTTTTGTGGATTTTATAGTTGAACTCATAAGTCAATTAAAGCTAAACCACCATGAAAAACCTGGAAACACTGGACAACCGTTTAGTCCTAATGTGGAACTCCTCAGCAGTGCACATTCACGATCCTGCCCCCCGGGACTCGAACCCAGGACGTACCGTTCTTGCGCACGAACACAACCTCTAGACCACTGAGCCGGTCGGTATCCATCGGCATTAATGTCTAACTTTAACTACTCCATGAAATTGAGCCACCACCCACTATTATCTTCAGTGAGTTACTATCTCACAATAGATTTTTATAGATTAAATACTCGAAGGGGTTTTATAGAGATTTTAGTAAATTCAATAGTTGAGATCATGAGTTAATTGAAGCTAGATGACCATAGAATACCTGGAAGCACTGGATGGTCGTTTCGTCTTATTATGGGACTTCTTAGCAGTGCACATCTACGATCCCGCCCCACAGGATTCGAACCCAGGATCTACTAGTCTCACACGCGAGCACTTAACCACTAAACCACTGAACCAGCATCTAACGATTAAATATTCATTAAAAAAAGGGGGGTTAATCAGTTGCAGAGTAAATTTGGTTTCAATGTACATTTGTTAAATAATCAATAATGGAACTTTTAAATTGATCAACATTCTAATTTTGAAGGTAAATAAAGAAAAGAAACGTGATATATCATATATCCTATTGTTTATATAAATATGACTAATTATGAAAATAGTTTGATCTCAACTGTTTGTTTGTTTGTTTGTTCGTTTGTTGATTAGTAAAAGAAAGTCACAATGTGATAAGATCAGTTTTGTGACTATAGTTACATCAAAGAACAAATAAATGTACTAAGGGGAGCTTTCATTCACTGACACTCTCTGCCTCACACACACACATACATACACACATACACATATTGCATTTCTCTATTCATCTATCACTATGAGTCATATATAACTCTTCATGGTAAATAATTGTAAATTAATTATGTTCATTTATATAATCACTAGGATAATCTATTCTATTTTACATAAATTATTCGTATAACTAGAATACTATTGCATTTG